CTGTCACACTGGCGACTGAGGATTGGGAATAGATTAAGGAGTCTCTCTGGTCTAGTAGACAGATAATTATGGAAATGATTTCTTCTGTCTGTGGGCTGAACTTTGAGCTCTGTTCAACAACTCATGAAAGAGCTTGACCTTGGAAAATAAGGTGGATAGGAGGAGGATTGCTCACACACTAGTTTCTTATTTCTGTTATCTCCATATAGCTCCATTGGTATTTTAAAGATGAACAGTATGCTAAGGAGGGAGGATTGCTAACACACTAGTAGTGTCTTATTTCTGTTATCTCAATATAGCTCCAGTGGTATTATCAAGACAAATAGTAAGTCAAAACTTAAAAGTGAACATATGCTTATGGGGGTGGGGAGTACAGGGGTCACTGCTGTTTCTTTCTAGTCAGAAAAGACTTAATGTGCTTGGTTTAGATAAGTTAAGGTTCACAGCTGAGCTGATCTCAGAAGTTGGCTAGTATAATTTTCAGTTGACACGTGGCTCCCTAAACTTTTTAGAGCTTACAAAATTCCACAGCCAGAGTTTTTATGACCTAGTTAACACTGTTCTAACTTACTCCAGTCCCAACTGGTCGTCAGTGACTCTTGAGGCAACACCACCTCGATTTTAAAAGTGTTGTGTGAACTGTACAAGTATATTTATTTCCATGTTATTTCAGGGCTTTGTTTTTCCTGTGTCTCTGGTTGTTGTTGTTTTTTTGTACTCTGCTTCTTTGTGCAATTTAAACTACCATATGTTTTGGTGCTTTGTCTTTCCCTATTACGTAGAATCATAGGATTGTTAGGGACCCTGACTGGTAGTAAAGTCCAATCCCCTGCAATCAAGGCAGGACTAAGTATTATCTAGTTTACACTCCCTACCTCTGTACATTCAGAAGCAGTGTCCCTACTTACTTTTTAATCCATGTTAAAACAAATGTTATGCTTTATTCTAGTTTTGTGTTTGTGTGTTGGGTATAAAATGTGCTAAGGTGCTCACAGTAAACGCAATCTATAAATCAGACAGATTGATAATTTGTCAGACTGCCCAAATAGTC